CTAGCGACCGTACCAGATATAGTGCTCACTGAAGTATTTGGATATGTCGACCTGCATGATCAGTTTATCAGCACTTATCGAACGGCATGTGAGGTGGCCGGTCATGTACATGATCTTCCACTTTGCTGTCAATCAGCAATTGGGGCGTCTTTACTGTACCCATTGGGCAGCTTTCTGTTTCTCTTTTATCACTTGCACCGTCCTGATCTCACTCAACGACTGGATAAAGATTTCCTGATCAAGATCGACCGTGAGGCAGGATGTGATGGGAGTAGTCTTGTCCGACTGTTGAATTTGGCTATTGATTTACAGAGCGAAAGTAAGTGATAATTTGAAGACTGAGATGCAAGTTAAAGAATGTCCATGATGATGAATCCTAGTCAATGGATGATGCTGGTCTTTGTATTAGTGTGCATACCAGCAGAAGTTTACATAAAATTACAATTGTTTTATACCAGCAGAAATGTTCTAAATGATATTTGCTGTGTTCCAATTTGTTTAGTATACGTTATGTTCTAGCCTTGGTTTCCATTGTTACGAAAATGGGGAATTTTATTGAAATCGTCCATACCTAATCATAATGGCACTTTCTCCCGGTGATTTGACTTGACACTTGACTGACTCACGACCGCCATCCAGATCACACAAGAAGTCCATTGAACTTTCAAAGTCGGCGGGAAAGCGCTAGCTTCAGTGTTGGGAGCAACTCATGTTCTGATGAAATGATTGCCGAAGTCTCAAACTCTATTTCATAGCACAGAAAGTAGCCTAAAAACCAGCCTGTCATGTTTGTGGAAATCACCAGCATATTGTTTAGTAATGTCATAATGTCACTAAACTTAATGTACCGGCAATCCAAGCAATACTCGTAGAGAAATTTCTGTGTGATTCTTCCAATCTCATTTTCATATACAGGAGGTACCGCAATGTCAATGATGAATGATGAAGGTGCGATTGCATTGAGAGAAGGACCAGGAGAATCAGTTCAAGGTTAGTATTGTCCTTGTAATGGTCATCCATTAATGCACAACCCTAGTTAAGGGAAATACATGCTCAAAGTTTATCAGCACGAGCCTTTCTGCGCTAGCATTCCAGCACAAGCATCACAGCATCCTGTACATTAGGACTACCTTTCTCAGGGTGGCAAAACTGAGCGTCCATAGAGTTAACGAGGAAAATCTCAGCCTGACAGTAAAACCCACTGCGAATTAGAGCGCCGTGGAAATGAGTGCCTACAAAGTCAGTACAAAATACACCAGCGGGGGAGAAAGGCGCACGGTTAAGTTAGTACGACCTGATGAGGCAGTGATCATTGCTATTTATGTGTCACACTCAGGGGCATCACACACATTATGACCGGTAAGACCATGGTCGTACCACTTTTCATACGACTTAGTCTGCCCAATTCATCCAAATAGCAGTGAAAATTTCATAGGATCATTTTTTTAGTACATGCACTTGTACATAACTTACACTGTGCACATAACTGACGGAGTTGACTTGGAGTAGACCAGGGTATGCATATGTGCCCTTTATTGGTACTGTTCTGTCTGGACCCATGGTTGCTGCCAGTAGACTAGTATACCGAGTACTAGGTAGTTGTATTTAGTGCTGGGTGCTATGTGCTATGTAGTTACATTGACTGTTGCTGCAGTGTCCACGTAAACATGGTAGTCTAGATGTACATGTATGTCTTCAGCTCACACACACACACTCACAGAGTCACACACACACACACACACTCACACACACACTCACACACACACACACGCACACACACACACACACACACACACACACACACACACACACACACACTCACAGAGTCACAAAGACAGTATACTAAGCAACGAACACCTATTCTACAGGATACCAGTTAATCAGCTATGGTAGATGTACGAGATGTTGACATGTCATGTCGGCATGGAGACGGCCTTTCCATGGTAACTGGAGCCGCGAAAGAACTCAGTTCTGATTTGACTTTCTTACTTTTCTGTTTTGGTGAAACAATGTCAGTATGAAAGGGAGGACGGCCTATGCATTGTAACTGGAGCTGCGAAAGAACTGTCTGCTTGATTTACTTAGTTTTCTGTAGTGGCGAACCAATGGCAGGATGAAAGGGAGGACTGCCCCACATAATCAAATTATAGACCTGAGAAATGTCGCAGGGCGTTTGATTTCAGCAGACGTGTCACATGATTGGCAGACACTGGCTTGAACAGTGCTAGGATAAGAAGTTCCATGGAAATGTTCTGCGCTGACACTCAGTGCATGACCACAGATACCAGGCATGCGGATAATGGGGTGCAACTTCAAGAGATTCAATACCATCCTCTTCTAAAGTTAAAGGGGAAGTTAAGTCTAAAATTGAATTTTCACCAGTTGTAGTCTTCGTGGTGCTGAGTCGAATGGTCTTGGTCTGAGGAAGCTGAGACGCTCCCTTCCTCCTTTATTCCCAATCGAACTCGCACGCTTCCACCGAAACTGGGTGACTGCGCCCTACTACATCGCGATTTGTATGCAAAATGTCACTAAAAGCGCCATTTCGTTCTTATAAAAGCCCAGATGACCGCGATTGGCGCATATGTTGTAGTCTTTTGGACGCTGAGTCGACTGGTTTTGGACCCAAAAGGCTGCGATGGAGCGTTCGGCCCTTATTCCCAATCGAACATGGTTGAACAAGCGGTCACCTGCTCCTGCGTACACCAGTCACCTGGTCACCGTGCCTGCAGGCTACAACTTACAGCATGTTTGGGCGATTTTCTTTCACCCGAGTTGAACCTTTGAACCTTCGAGTTGAACCTTGTGAAATTTGTCGCCTGCTAGTGCAGTGATCAGGTAACTGGTGTACGCAGGAGCACATGACCGCTTGTTCAACCATGTTCGATTGGGAATAACGGCCAAACGCTGCATCGCAGCCTTTTCGGACCAAAACCAGTCAACTCAGCGTCCAAAAGACTACAACATATGCGCCAATCGCGGTCATCCGGGCTTTTATAAGAACGACATGGCGCTTTTAGTGACATTTTGCATACAAATTGCGATGTAGTAGGGCGCAGTCACCCAGTTTCGGTGGAAGTGCGCGAGTTCGATTGGGAATAAAGGAGGAAGGGAGCGTCTCAGCTTCCTCAGACCACGATCATTCGACTCAGCACCCCGAAGACTACAACTGGTGAAATTTGATTTTAGGCTTATAATTATTTTAACTTCCCCTTTAAATTTGCTCAAATGCACTGCAGTCAGTTACATTCCACTGAAATGCTCGTGCCCAAATGGTCGTGCTAAACTGTTCATTTTAAAACTCTGGTGCTGAAATGGGACTAATCCGGGTGTTGTAGGCTAGCTAGACCCAATTCATCGTGAACATCCTTCCCATTTTCTTCAATAACGTCTTCCTCATATCTACATCACATGTATTATGCTTTGATCTGGTGTATGTGTATTTTTATATTGTGCAGCTGATAATGGCCAGTACGCAGCAGCTCTCAGTGAACTGATGAAGGAAGGTGTGCAGCTGATACCGTATGGCCGACTGATAATGTGCGGGCCAGGCCGCACAGGCAAGAGCAGCTTCCTGCGATCCCTCCTGCGTCAAACGTTCATGTCTCAAGTCGACAGCACAATCGGTGTGGAGCTGGAGAAGGTGATCTGCACCATCGAGAAACAAGGGTCACAATATGTATGGAATCAAGCTGAAGATTCTTACCAGCAGCAGTTGGCCCTGACGCACAGAGCTGTTGGACAAGAGCAAAGGAAGAAAGAGATAGTAGCAGCACTGAGACAACAAGGTGTGGAGATCCCAAAGAACACCAGGTCCACATCCTCCATGCCATCAACTCCTGCAACATCACCATCCGCTGTGATTGAGACTGAGCAAGCAGATACAGCCAGTGTGAGTGAATCTGCTATCAGCCAACGTGATGAAGCCACCCACACCGGGTACTCTGGTCAATCAGCTACCAGTTCATCTGAAACCATGGACTCTCAGAATGTTCCCACTGCATCCAAGCCGGAGGAGGTCTCAACCATGAGTGTAGAACAGGTAGCAACAGCAGAGCAAGATGTGCAGCAGCTACAGACGGAAATCAACTCAGCAACGTTGAAGTTTGAAAGCTTCCTTGAAGATCTGAAGAAGGGCAAAAGTGAAGTTTTCACTGCAGAGCATCTGAAGAACCTGACATTTATAGATGTCTGGGACTTTGCTGGTCAGAAGCTGTTTGCAGCGATCCAACACATGGTCCTGGCCTGTGATCGGTGTGCATATGCTGTCGTCTTTGATGCCTCAAAGAAGCTCCAGGACCGAGCGAAGCCGACGTTTGGTGTAGACGGTGAGGAACTGCCGCTTTCCAACAGCCTGGAGCAGACCAACTTTGATGTGATGGAGACGTGGTTCAACGCTATCCACGAGGTTATTGGAGACAGCGACAACGTACCCGTGTTTGCCATTGGCACACATGTGGACAAGTTACCAAAGAAGCCAGAAGCAAGGAAGAAGACAACTGAAGAGATAAAGAAGTACATATTGGCCAATGCAGATGGTAAGGCCTATGCAAACAACATCGACAAGGTGGTATTTGTGGACAACACACGAGCTGGCAAGGATCCGGAAGACCCAGCAGTTGTTCAGCTACGGCAAGACATCATCCAGCAGCTGCAGCATCAGTTCAGCGTTGCCATACCATTTCGTTGGCTTCCTGTAACCATCTCCATTGGGCACATTGCAAAATCGTTTGAACGACCATGGTTGTCGGTTGACGAGCTACGTCGCTTGGCCATTGCTGTTGGTAGCATTTCCAGTGAGGATTCGGAGTCTGATTTCCAGGAGATGTTGAAGTTCCAACATGGTCTTGGTCATTTGCTTCACTTTGTTCACAATGCCCGTCTTCGTGATCGTGTGATCATTGACATCCACTGGGTTCTGAAGACCATGTCACTGCTCTTTTGTCCTGAACCAAAGGATATGCAGAGCAAGCGTCTACGTCCACAATATGACTTGCTGACTCAGGATGGCATCCTCCTGGAAAGTCTTGCCATGCACCGCTGGTCACAGCACAATCGTATGACATCGCGCTACACGGCCACAGAAGAACAGCGTGATTTCCTGTTTGAGATGGGTGAGCACTTTGCCCTGTTCTACAACACCAAGACAACTGTGAATGTGCCTGGTCAGAGGAAGGAGGTGACAACTCGCAAGTTCTTTGTACCAGCACTAGTGGAGCGAGTTGCACGTCTTCAAGATGAATTGAGCAAAGGCAAGCCAAGTCCAGCTATGTACCTGTACAGTGGTGCAGATCGTTACTTTCCACAAACCCTGTTCTGGTGTGGTGTTGTGAGGTGTATGCAACGCTACAGTCCAAAGGTGGATCCTATCCTTTATCACACATCAGCACGTATTCTGGTGAATGATCGCTTCTGGCTGGTCATGCAGTATTTCCAGCATGGCATTCGTCTGTCACTGGAGATTCCTGTCGCAGCTGGCACGGCTAAGTCTTCTACCGATGCTGGTACTGGCGTGGACAAGTCAGTTGGCTCTCCTGACATTGGTGTCGCAGCAAGCAAGGACGAGTCCGCGGCAGTCGAGCTTTGTCATGAGCTTCTACCGTATCTGGAGTCGGAGCTCGACAAGCTGAAGGCATTCTCCCTGACTCATGTGAAGTTCAGCAGAGCTGTTCGCTGTCCATGCTCGTTCAGCCGAGATGTGTGTCGCAAACACAAGAAGAAGGGTTGTGCAGAGATTGGCTGTCAGCACTTTGCTCCACTGGTGGAGGGATTACGTCCACGTTGTTCCATCGGAGGACGCCCAGAAGTAGACATCAGTGATGTCCGGCAATACTGGCCATGCTTCTCTGAAGACGCGCAGGTGAGCACACCATGGATGAGTATTGATATATTCAAGAGTACGGCTCGTTTCTCCAAAGTGTGTGTGCCGTACGCTAAACAATGTAGTGTGTGGTAGAGTTTGTATTCATTTGACATTGTTCTATTGGTAAGAGAAGTAAATTGTGCTAAGTGATTACTTCAGTCAATAACGGATTTGTCATGTGGTGTGAAACTCTGCTGTCACATTGCATTGCAACTGCAGACCACTGGAAATCATAAAATGCTGACAACTGGTGCCACACCTAATGATGGCACATAATGCGTATGTTATAAGTAGGCCGAGACCTCTGGTCGTTTGAGTTGCTATCAGTATGTCAGTATATCGTCCCTACATCATCTTTGTTTAGCTTTATGTCGCTCTCCACATGTTTATGGTAGTGTATACATCTACAGCGACGGCGTAGTGGGCAAGCGCTCCAAACTGGCGTCCGCGGATGCAAGTAACCAGAGCAGCGCCCGCCGCCATTTACATTCCACCTCGCGAGCCGGACCAACAGTTAATTAAAGGGGAAGCGCATCGATTTTTCGAGTAGGGTCCAGAAGAAAGACAATTTGATATCGGTTCGAATGGCATATCTCTCGTTTCCGTACGATAAGCCAAACTTGCCAAATCGCCAATTGTGTACTCACGTTGCCATAGCGACCAGCGCAGTGATGACGTATGAAATGCTTAGCTCCACCCCAGAGAAGGTCGATCACTGCTGAAATTGGTCATTTTCAAATTGTCTTATTGTATTCACGATGTGAAAGAAGTGCTGTATTCAATGCTGTTAGTGCCGTGAACTGTTTATCGGGCTTCTCTTGCATTTCCCTAGGCTGACTGTGCCCAGGAAATGGTTCCTCTAGAAGAAGATGCTTGGTATTCGCCATCTCTCCTGAGACATTTTCAGCAAACTTTGAAACTTACGACAATATTTCATTCGTCAATCTCCACCACCCGTCGTTTCACCTGGCTTCAGAAGATGTTACGAGAGATAGGAGAGTCGCCAGGAAGCATCACATCCATCTTCAGGAAGTGGAAAGAGCAAACGGCATGGTCCTTGGTTGGGGGAAATGCTGAACGTCTGATTTGTCCCAACCAAGATTTCAGCATTTTGTTCGTCACTATTTCCGCTTGTCTGCTGATGTTTTCGCACTCCAGCTTTCTCCTGTCGGTGTTACGTCCCAGGACACAACCGAGAGGACTACTGATAAACAGTCCACCGCTCTGACAGCATTAAACACAGCCCTTCTTTCACTTCGTGAATACAATTATAAACCAATTGAAAATGACCAAATTCTGCTGTGATCGACCTTCTCTGTGGTGGAGCTAGTAGTAGTATTCTTTTTTTAAAGAAAAAACAAAAAGAATACTACTAAAAGAATACTACAAAAAGAATACTACTACTAGCTCCACCACAGAGAAGGTCGATCCCAGCAGAATTTGAGCTAAGCCTTTCATACGTCATCACTGTTGACATTTTCATTACATCCCGGTCCAACACAAGAAACCAAGTAGTTTTCGGGTAGTATTGACGTATTATTGATAGATGGGACGAAATTAAGGATGGACGACTGGACGAGACAAGATGAGACTGACGAGGATTCGACTGACTATCAGATTCTGGAAAGTCTCGTTATACATGAAATCTTACTACAATAAATGCGTACGGTGCAATGCATAAGCGTGCCCAATTAGTTGGCGCGTTTATTATGTGTATAGTCCGGCTATGTACACCAAAAAGGGATGTAATTAGATCTGCGGATGCAAAGGCTAGTTTGTGCGTTTTTGAACATTCAAGCGATACCGACGCGGATCCCGCGAATATTATTATTATTATTAAAGGGGAAGTTAAGGCAAAAATTAAAATTTCACCAGTTGTAGTCTTCGGGGTGCTGAGTCGAATGGTCTTGGTCTGAGAAAGCTGAGACGCTCCCTTCCTACTTGAATCCCAATCGAACTCGCGCACTTCCACCGAAACTGGGTGACTGCGCCCTACTAGATGGGGATTTGTATGCAAAATGTCACTAAAAGCGCCATTTCGTTCTTATAAAAGCACGGATGACCGCGATTGGCCCATATGTTGTAGTCTTTTGGACGCTGAGTCGACTGGTTTTGGTCCGAAAAGGCTGCGATGCAGCGTTCCTCCTTTATTCCCAATCGAACATGGTTGAAGAAGCGGTCCCGTGCTCCTGGGTGCCCAAATCACCTGGTCACCACGCCAGCAGGCGACAACTTTCACACCAAGGTTCAACTCGAGTGACAGGACTGCACCCAAAAAAGGTCAAACAGGCTAGTAAGTTGTACCCTGCAGGCACGGTGACCAGGTGACTGGCGTACGCAGGAGCACGTGACCGCTTGTTCAACCATGTTCGATTGGGAATAAAGGCGGAACGCTGCATCGCAGCCTTTTCGGACCAAAACCAGTCGACTCAGCGTCCAAAAGACTACAACATATGGGCCAATCGCGGTCATCCGTGCTTTTATAAGAACGAAATGGCGCTTTTAGTGACATTTTGCATACAAATCCCCATCTAGTAGGGCGCAGTCACCCAGTTTCGGTGGAAGTGCGCGAGTTCGATTGGGATTCAAGTAGGAAGGGAGCGTCTCAGCTTCCTCGGACCACGACCATTCGACTCAGCACCCCGAAGACTACAACCGGTGAAATTTTAATTTTTGCCTTAACTTCCCCTTTAATTACATCAAATGTACGGTGGTTTTATGTGCAGGGTCAGAAGGAGGGAAACCGGGCTACAAATGTGTATGGTACTAACTATTGCATGCAGGGGGAATGGTACTATATGGGGGTGAGTATGGGTTTACAGGGGACATGTGCAACATCACTGCGCTCGTCGCTATGGCAACGAGAGTATACTATTGGCGATTTGGCAAGTTTGGCTTATCGTATGGAAGCGAGAGATATGCCATTCGAACCGATATCAAATTGTCTTTCTTCTGGACCATACTCGAAAAATCGATGCACTCAGAGTCCCCTTTAAAATATGAAGTACTTGTAGTGTTGAGAAAAGGAGGACAAAATGTTACGAGTTATGACTCCTTTTTTCACCATAATTTAATTTGCTCACCATCCGAGTTATACTTGTAATGTTTTTGTGTATTCAGCAACATATGATTAAACAAAGAAATCGCGAATAATCGCATGCCTGGTAATAAATCCATGGCCAAGGGATTCCTGCAATTAGGAGTTGGGTGTTCACTTTGCTCCGGCCCATGCCTTTACTCGTGTTGGTGTCTGGCCAGAAATTATTCAACCAAGTCATGTTTTACCTCTTTGCATGTTTGGCCGCAGTTCCCGTTTTCCGTTTGTGGCTGGATAGTTGATTTCCTGTGACCCGGTTATCTTTGATTTTCAGACTTTGGAACGTTCAGATGGGAAGCTGGATCAGTCTGACCTTGACCTGGAGCTTGTGACTGGAGATGCTGCTGCAGAAGCCAAAGGTAATTTTTAAACCTGTTTAGTGTTTCTTCTTATTGTCCGCTAACTCAACGCAGCCACTTACGCTTGTATAATACTTCACTCCTCAACTCCAAAACGGCCTCTTCACTTTGGAAATCAAATTACATAACCAGCAAATTGTCATGCCTGACCACTCTTCAGGGTTACTACATAAAATGAATAACAAAGATGCAAAAGTAGGGATTCACTGGCCAGAAAATGCCACTTCATAGCTGTGTGGTGTCGACCAGGCTGACTAGTGGCAGTCAATCCTTCAGCCTTGCAAGCTGTTGAATGGTGCAATCCCAGCACAAGTTGCTATGGCTTCTGCTGTCGCATCGCTATCATCGCCTCCGGCGATGGGCGTCAAATGGTCAAAAATGGTGTGTGTGTGTGTGTGTGTGTGTGTGTGTGTGTGTGTGTGTGTGTGTGTGTGTGTGTGTGTTGGGGGAAAAAAAAAAAAAATTAAAAGACCAATTAAAAGACCAAAATTAGGGATTCACTGGCCAGAAAATGTCACTCCAAATAGCTGTATGGTGTAGACCAGGCTGAAAAGTGACGGTCAATTCTTCAGCCTTGCAAGCTGTTGAATGGTGTAATCCCAGCACAAGTTGCTATGGCTTCTGCCGTAGCATTGCTATCATCGCCTCCGGCGATGGGCGTCAAAGGTCAAAGGTGTTGGGGGAGGGGGGAGGGGGAGCTTCAGCAGAATTTCAATCGACAGATGCGAAGACAAAGTTCTAAGTAGATAGATTAAGTGCTACACTGTGTACCCACAGGTACAGAATTAGAGGATTACATGTGCAACACCTGTGGCTGGCTATGCGTCTGGCCAAGGTGTGGAGCTTGTATGCACGGTACTTGCAACACCTGTGGCTGGATGCGTCTGGCCAAGGTGTGGAGCTTGTATGCACAGTACTTGGTCTGACTGTAGGTGTTTTACATTTATGTACTCTTTCCCTCGTTGGTAGGGTTGGCTAAAGTTCAGCAGGTTACCTCGGCCACAGTGGCCAAGAAAGCTGCAGTCTATCACGGAGCACTGCATAAGCATTACACCGCTGTGCAGAGAAGCCTGGAGATTAACGTGATGGACTGTGTCAAGAGTTTGCGTGCTGAGGGTCACATCAATCACGACTGCGTGAAGGAAACGCGGGCAGTGATGAAGTCAAGTGGACACACTGAAGCTCTGGATCACCTGTGCTGTGTGCTGGAGGATCTGTCGGACGAAGGCATGTGCTACTTTGTGGAGCGTGTGCTACCATTTCAAGGTCTGTCTCAGCTGGTGGAAACATTCCAAGCTTGTCCCGGTCCTGGAAAGTGCACTCTGAACCACCATGATCTCCACACTGCTCCCAATGCTGATGTCAAAGGGAAAGTGTTGGATGAAGCTGACAGTGCAAGTGCTACATCTTCTTCACTGAAAGACAAGGTGAAAACTGGGGTAAGAATGGATTTTCTATACAACTGTGGAGTATGTCTTTATAAATTTGCATGTCTGTAAAAATGTTCGTAAATCGACATTATACAGAGACTTGTACGAACACGACATGGGAGATTTGCAAAGATATGCAAAGAACAAAATAAAAGGAAATAATGCAGAGAAACCCTTTCACGCTCAATGTTTTTTTTCGATAATTATTATTTCAATCATGTTAAAATTTCCACCTTTCTCTGGTATATTTCCTCTCCTAGTCCAAGGGAGGCAAAATAAAGCAGGGGTAGAAAAGATTCTTGCTTCTGTGAGGGAGGTGAAAGCAATGGAAGGTAGTTACATGAACAGAGCTGGTGGCGTGACATGTCATAACTGAGACAAAGTCGTTGGTGATGGCACGGCACGTGGAAAGTCACAGCCTCTACCTATCTCAGCTGCAAACAGTTCTGTTACAACTAGCAAATCTATATGTATCTCCTCTCACCATCACACCATCGCGTCTTGCGGAATCTTCAAACCATTGCTCTATTCCAGTCACTCAACCGCCCAAAGTTGCCTGGTGATAGACCAGGATGAAACACGAATCCCAATCTGCGAAACTGTTCCTGTGTGTCATGCACTGGGCGTGAACTGATGCACACGTCTGCCAAGCAAGATATCACCACCCAATGACTAGGCTATGTGTGAACTGATGGTGATAGCGGGAAATGGACTTGCAAGATGTGACCAAACTTAGGGCAGCTATGGAGAGCATGTGATGGTGCCATTTGACAGACTGTAGTGAGAGCTTCATGTGAAGTCCTCAAGCCATTAATCTAAGCGTGTAGTAGCAGAATTTAACGTAGAAAACTGTGCGAATATTTGCCAAGCGTGCTCATGCCTCTGCATGGGTTTGCATGCACACTGTAGTACCCATTTACACAGTACACCGAGCTGCATCATTCCCTTTTCTTGCAACTTCTATGGGTGGCCCCATGATCCTTGGGGGTGGTGGTGTTCCTACGGATTCGGACAATTCGATCTTCAGCCGAGTCTCACGCGAACCGTGGATTTCAATATTTTTACGGGTGTTAACGGAGCTCGGTGAACCTTTCCTGCTCCATGATGTGCATTTGAGCAATTTTATTTATTTTGGAATTGACTTCTAATTCAAGGCTCACGAGATGAACAGATGGTGGCATGTAGACATTGCCACTGAGCATGCCTATTATGTTTGTCATGCTTATTTTCCTAAACGATTATCTCTGTACGATTATTTGATCTGTTGGTGTATTCTTAGATGTCTGAGCTTCACCAGGAAGTACTGCGTTCAAGCTATGTGGAATTAAAGTGCAGTTTGGACGTAGAAGAGGGCATTCTGGATCATCTCTATGCAGAGAGCATCGTTACCAAGCGCTTCTGCAAGAAACTCCGCACTATGGATGATCGTGAAGACCAGGTAATGCTTGTGTCAATGTGTTATGCAACTAGATAGGAAACCTGGTCAACGCAGAAAATCTCGGTGGATATCATCAACTTGCCGTGCAGGGGCGTCGGACACGGTACGGTCACTACGGTATTGACCGACCACTTTTCGCCTGAGGTGCCCCTCGTGGAAGGTCCAAAACCGGTGTAAAAAACATCTGGAAGTGGCACTGTTGGCCGAGTTGTGCACCGGCGTACCATGTGTAGACTCCTACAGACTGTCAGTGTACCAAGTGTACGTGTACAGAGCAGTGCTGTACACTGTACACTACTCACTAGTAGAGTGCTGTACACTGTTCACTAGTGGAGTAGTCACGGTAGTGTAGTGTAGTGTAGGCAGTGCAGTGTAGTGTAGTGTAGTGCAGTGCAGTGCAGTGCAGTGTAGTGTAGTGTAGGCAGTGCGGTGCGGTGCGGTGCGGTGCGGTGCGGTGCGGTGCGGTGCGGTGCAGTGTAGTGTAGTGCGATGCGGTGCAGTGCAGTGCAGTGTAGTGTAGTGCGATGCGGTGCAGTGTAGTGCAGTGTAGTGCAGTGCGGTGCAGTGTAGTGTAGTGTAGGCAGTGTAGTGTAGTGTAGTGCGGTGCGGTGCGGTGCGGTGCAGTGCAGTGTAGTATAGACGGCGTAGACTGTTCTGTCAAACAAATCTAGACTTCTGTGTGTTGGTGTCACACATGTACACGATTGTGTCTACTATCACTGGATATGAGAGGCAATATAATAATTATGGAAAGCTTTCGACCGTATTTCATTGTACAGCTCATGGGCTTCCACACCTACATTGCATTGGGTTAACGTGAAAGGGGAAGTTAAGGCAAAAATTAAAATTTCACCAGTTGTAGTCTTCGGGGTGCTGAGTCGAATGGTCTTGGTCCGAGAAAACTGAGACGCTCCCTTCCTACTTGAATCCCAATCGAACTCGCGCACTTCCACCGAAACTGGGTGACTGCGCCCTACTAGATGGGGATTTGTATGCAAAATATCACTAAAAGCGCCATTTCGTTCTTATAAAAGCACGGATGACCGCGATTGGCCCATATGTTGTAGTCTTTTGGACGCTGAGTCGACTGGTTTTGGTCCGAAAAGGCTGCGATGCAGCATTCCTCCTTTATTCCCAATCGAACATGGTTGAAGAAGCGGTCACGTGCTCCTGGGTGCCCAAATCACCTGGTCACCACGCCAGCAGGCGACAACTTTCACACCAAGGTTCAACTCGAGTGACAGGACTGCACCCAAAAAAGGTCAAAACAGGCTAGTAAGTTGTACCCTGCAGGCACGGTGACCAGGTGACTGGTGTACGCAGGAGCACGTGATCGCTTCTTCAACCATGTTCAATTGGGAATAAAGGAGAAACGCTGCATCGCAGCCTTTTCGGACCAAAACCAATCGACTCAGCGTCCAAAAGACTACAACATATGGGCCAATCGCGGTCATCCATGCTTTTATAAGAACGAAATGGCGCTTTTAGTGATATTTTGCATACAAATCCCCATATAGTAGGGCGCAGTCACCCAGTTTCGGTGGAAGTGCGCGAGTTCGATTGGGATTCAAGTAGGAAGGGAGCGTCTCAGCTTCCTCGGACCACGACCATTCGACTCAGCACCCCGAAGACTACAACTGGTGAAATTTTAATTTTTGCCTTAACTTCCCCTTTAAGAGGACTAAGTTTTTTTACATAAGGCAGCATCTTTGATTGACAGCGCCAAACACAAAGAAAGAAAGGCAATTTGCTGTTTCTGGTCTACTTGGACTATGAGCCTCATGCATGGTAGCTTGCTGTGGGTTTCCAGGTAAATTGGACTTGAAATTTGGCAACAAGAGAGCATGGATGAATAACATTGCGCATTGGTTCTATCAAGCCCACTAAGCTGCTTTACTTTGAGAGATTGGAAGTTCGTGACAATGCTGTATAGTGTACTTACTAGACACCTTCAACTCCTCATCACGAATTCCATGTTTTGTCTGTTTCTGGAATGTTGTGTCTCAGGCGTCTGAGTTCTTGGAAGCACTGCCAGGTTGTGGTGCGCAGGCCTTTCGTCAGTTTCTATCCGCTCTCAAGGACAGTACGAAGCTGGCTCACAAGGAGCTTGCCGATCTGCTGAAGGAGAAGCTGGTGGAGAAGTCTTTCGTAAGCTAATGTTTGTTGTGAATTGCACTCATTCTTCAGACTGATTTTGTATTGTTTATTCTCTGGCAATGCTGTTTTACGATGGCTGTCATGTACAACACTCGAAACATGGCTGCACGGTCAACTACACACAGTCATCTTGAAAACAAAATAGTTACGACAGTGGAATGCCAGATACAATAAACGGGGAAGACCTATTTATTTGTACAAGCTGCCATTTGCAGCGCATTCCTGACGTCATTATACAATGTCAAGATTGTCGACGCCAAGCTAATATTATAACATTTAAAGTATGACATCAACAATCTTGACATTAGTTGTATTAGGTTTTCTCTTGACCAGACAGAACTAAACGACGCATGCAGACGCTAGCACGAAGAGCTCACCAACAATACTCCATGCCAGCAAGTATTTACTCATGACCAGCTTGTTTCCAGGTTTTTTTAGCTTTCAATAACTGCTTTTCTTCTGACGAGTCCCCGTGAACTTTCTATGGAAAAGAAGGTTGTGAGGAATAACTGCTTGCTGCCGTGGAGTATTGCTTGTAAGCTGTTTGTGCAGCATGGTATCTTCAAGTGATGTATGGTCTCCTCTAGTCAAACGAAGAACCGATTACTAATATCATTAGTTGGCCAAGCACGTGCCGGGATTCAGCTGGGCTAGTTTACGTATTGTGGTATGGTTCAAAAGTCTGAACTCTCACCCTATAATTCGGTATGCTAGAATCTTATGTGCCTTCAGTATCACACATGTATCTCAGTGTCTGCTCTAGGATTGTAGGACAGCCGGGTACACGTGTACCTGGCGCAACCATTTCAACCGGGTCAGAGCCGGGTACACATGTACCTGGCGCTGTCTCACCAGCCGAGTCACATGCTTTAACTGGTTGGTTGGCTTATTTTAATTCGGAAAATAAACGGGAACTAGGCCTAATGATATAAAGGCAAGTGGATAAGCCGCATTTAGAAAAGAGAGGACAGGAATTAGAAAATTACGAAAGAAGAAGAAGTATCTGACACATACAAGCCATATAGTCAGTCCTTTCAAACTTCGAAAGTGTAAAGTACCAACCGGGTCACAGGTGACCCGGTGCTATATTTTCAACCGGGTCCAAGCGCCGCCCAACCGGGTGGATTACCCGGCTCGCCCAGCACTGGAGCAGACACTGCTATCTACAGTGCATGTGTGTGCAGTACAGTCAACTTCGCGTATAACGACACTCGGCGGGGCATCAAAAAGGTGTCCTTATTCTCAAAGTGTCGTTATACCCGTAGTCTCATTATGTGTACAGTCAACTTGGCTAATAACGACTGCGGATATAACGACAATTCGCGAATAACGACATCATTTTCATGCCCAGAGCAAAGTCCCATCCAACTGTGACACATATAATGAGACTTCGGGTATAACGACACTTCGCGAATAAGGACACGTTTCTGATGCCCCGCCGAGTGTCGTTATAAGGCGAAGTTGACTGTATTACATTTAGATGGGACTTTGCTCTGGGCATAGAAATTCTGTCGTTATTCTCGAATTATCGTTATATCCGCAGACGTTATTAGCAAAGTTGACTGTACACTTACGGCGCGTAGCAGTGCCATCTTGCACCTTTTCTCCGCATGCTAGCACTTAGCATGTCTGTCACCTGGAAAGGCCCCGGGATCACGCTTCTTCGTTTTGTGGTAACAGACGTGCTAAGTGCTAGCGCACGGAGAATTGGTGCAATATGTGTCACTGCTACGTGCCGTAAGTGTACTGCGCACACATGCATTGTAGACACATGTGATACTGAAGGTACAAAAGATGTTCAACTTGGAGTCATGTTACTGGTGTTAATGTGGTAGACCAGAGAGCGTATGTGATGGAGGTAGACCAGAGAGCGCATGTGATGGAGGTAGACCAGAGAGCGCATGTGATGGAGGTAGACCAGAGAGCGCATGTGATGGAGGTAGACCAGAGAGCGCATGTGATGGAGGTAGACCAGAGAGCGCATGTGATGGAGGTAGACCAGAGAGTGCATGTGATGGAGGTAGACCAGAGAGCGCATGTGATGGAGGTAGACCAGAGAGTGCATGTGATGGAGGTAGACCAGAGAGCGCATGTGATGGAGGTAGACCAGAGAGCGCATGTGATGGAGGTAGACCAGAGAGCGCATGTGATGGAGGTAGACCAGAGAGCGCATGTGATGGAGGTAGACCAGAGAGCGCATGTGATGGAGGTAGACCAGAGAGCGCATGTGATGGAGGTAGACCAGAGAGCGCATGTGATGGAGGTAGACCAGAGAGTGCATGTGATGGAGGTAGACCAGAGAGCGCATGTGATGGAGGTAGACCAGAGAGCGCATGTGATGGAGGTAGACCAGAGAGCGCATGTGATGGAGGTAGACCAGAGAGCGCATGTGATGGAGGTAGACCAGAGAGCGCATGTGATGGAGGTAGACCAGAGAGCGCATGTGATGGAGGTAGACCAGAGAGCGCATGTGATGGAGGTAGACCAGAGAGCGCATGTGATGGAGGTAGACCAGAGAGCGCATGTGATGGAGGTAGACCAGAGAGCGCATGTGATGGAGGTAGACCAGAGAGCGCATGTGATGGAGGTAGACCAGAGAGCGCATGTGATGGAGGTAGACCAGAGAGTGCATGTGATGGAGGTAGACCAGAGAGTGGAGGTAGAACTACTTCGTATGGAAATAATAGTTATTATAATACCCAAAATCCAGCCTTTTTTAAACAGTTTTCATGGGGACAGGAATGAAATCAACGCAATAAATAAATCAAGTTGCGCATATACACACACCATTGGCACAGGTTAGGTATCCTTGAACGTTTTCGTTGCCATCTCTTCAGAGGGATTTAATGGCAAAGATAATGAGCAACACAATATATGATCAAAATACCGCCTAGCCCGAAAATTTGAATGATTAGGCCACCTAGAATTAATTCGTTGGTTCAGGTCACTTCACTCATCCGTACCAGGGTCGGTCGGTCGGGGTTATTTTTTATTTTCCCCAAAAATTTGGTTACTCCCATGTGCATGCATATATGTGCATATATGTAACAATGCAGATAGTGCATATCAAAAATCCAAGCTTTCGTCCCATTAGTCAGTCGATCAAATCTGACTGTAGACGGTCCAAGGCAGCCATTATCCCATCAGGTCCAGGTCCACTCCAGGACCACATCTTGGCGAGTCTGAAGAGCAACTTTCACCGAAACGTCTGTCAATGAGCGACGAGGTGGCGGAGCTGATGCTGTTTCAGGACCGATGGCGGATCAGAGATAATAGAATCACCAACCACTTAATCCTGTCATTTGCCTGCTTCCGAGGCCAATGTTTTGACTGCTTAAAATCGATGTAAATGTACACAGCCATGTAACAAAAGTACCTTTGCATGCACAATAAAAAAACAGTACCAGTGCCCGAAACAAGGAATTACTTCTGGGTGGCCTTACCTCTATCTTCTTTTTGTGATTGGTGTGGCCCAGAGACCGTTTGGAGAGTGTTGTGAAGATGTATGGGTGTAGTGGATGGCTACAGTAGAGTCTTCGCATTTAAAAAAAAATGCCATGAGGTGAAATAATACAATTGTCAGTGAGAACAATAAGAAGTGAGAACAAAAGCCACTAATCAAAAACAGTTGAAATCACAAGCTAAGAATACGTTAACAGCTTCAAGAGTGCAATATGCAACATTCAGAACTACTGATATAAATTTAGTTACAAACAACTCATTGTTCGCACTGACACTTGTATTATTTCACCTCAATGCATTGTGAGTATATTGTGTTACTCGTTGAATTATCTTTGCCAGTAAATCCTTCTGAAGACTAATCGGGTGACGAAAACGAAAACGTTCAAGGATACCTAGCCTATGAGAATGGTGTGTGTATAGAATGCGCAACTTGATTAATAATTATTTATTGCGTTGATATCTTTATTTTTCTTAGGCTGTGATCGTTTGGTCGGATCTAGATCCGTCAGACCCTCTGGATGGATCTGCAGTGATCGATTGGTCAAATCCGGATCCAGATCCTTCGGATTTTGATCCGAGCAACCCTGCCCCGGGAGCCGGGTTTCCACTGGATCCACCGGATCCAAATGTGACCTTTGTGGGTATATGGTGGGTAAAAATAATTTTTGTACTCATTGTCGTATCCATAAACGATTCTGGTCGATTTTTCGTACGACGCGCGCGATCAGTACCGACTTTCGCCCTTTTGGGTGACCGGACCGCTCCATTTCTTACTTCGCCAACATGGCCCAGGTCCAAAAAAGTGATCTGTTGATTTTGAATGACCCGATGGATCTGAGATCTGGATGCGGATCCGACCAACCGATCATAGCCATCATAGCCATAGTAAAAGTGCATCACTTCTCAAAACTATGTTTATCATGGCAACCAACGGGAGGCATAGACCTGTAGTTGCCAGTGTTGCATCTGCCAACTATGCTCCTGGCTACCATTTCTTGTATTAGTTTATATCATGGAGATCAACTGCTGTGTTTATACTCTCTCTGCTCCTGCAGGATCTGTGATCGTTGTCGCTATTGTGGATTCGGCAGGTTTCGGTGATGTTTGGTGACATGGTTCCACTTTCCTGACTTCTGCAGGCATGATGCCCACAATCTTCCACTGGCCCACGCAGTTGCTGGTACAGGACGCGACATTATTTCCATTATATTTCTTCATGTGCCGTTCGCAAATTTCACTGTCTTTTTTCTTTATCTTTTCACAGCAATTTGTGCTCAGTGGTTAACATTCTTATTTGTTAGAAGCATCTTTAGTGTCTGGACTTCTTTGGAAGGCCGTGAGAAATATTGTTTTGTGCAGTAGTTCATAATTTCCGTATTTTTGTAAATTTTTAGTAAACTTCTGATTTACTACTCGACATTGTTTGTATTTTATATTGCGTTATTGGATTGATTTTGATTTGCAAGTAAACATTCTGATAAGATCTGATGGCGACGAAGGAAGATGACTTTTAGTTTTTACTTGTTCATCCGGAGTGCGCAAACTCACTACATTCATTGCGTTATTATCTTTCCTATCTTCGCGGATATATATATTTTTGTTCAGTATGTAGTTTTGCCATATCTGCATCAATTGTACTCTTTATTGCTCTTATTGAATCCCTAAAACTAGAAATCTATTCATGCTGTTATTCCCATAATTTTTCATTTTAAAAATTTCTCAAAGTGTCGTTGTTTCCTTACCATGGCCTGTTTAACAAGCGATGTCATCGGGCGGGGTCGTACTGCTGAAGTAATTGTGGATTTTCTATACTGAGATGTGCTGAGAATCTTTCATTTCTTTCTTTGAAGATTGTTTTGCGTATAAATTTTATGAAATTCATGCATTCTGGTTTCTACCGGGACGTTATTTGGCCAGTTTTCTTTCTTCTCCAGGCTTTAAAAGTTGTTGTGAAGTATTTGCCTACATGATTTCTACTGAGATAGTTTGGGCAGCTTTTTTCTCCCTTACTCACCCTATGTCTCACAGCACAGGAATTATAAAGTACACATATCGTTCTTTTTTTATCTGTTCAAAGCTCACAATATTGACAGCTGTGTTTAGTTTTGTTTTGTTCACCTTATCTACTTGCCAATTCTTCAGGAACTTTCAATTATTGAGGGAAGACACCAATGTCAGTGTCACTAGTCTATTGTCCGGCTTTTGAGTACGGTTGTAAGTTATCAGTGGACTAGAGTGTAGGCATGCTACTGTTCTGTATTCGGAACGTCCGGAACAGATTCTTTATCTGGTTTGGGAGCAAGGTACAAAGAAAGATAGAGCCAGACAGAGGGATAGAGAGAGATGGGGGGGGGGGGAGCAGTATGTTATTCTGCCAGGTTTCATTGTCCATCCTTTCAAAGATCTAACTGATGCATGTCCGTTCTGGCTCAGAGCTCTCCTTCTCACCACCACCACCACCATCAGTTCGCGCCTGGCGCCTAGTCGATGCATGGTTGGCGGTATCCGACACAGATGGTGGTGGTAGAAGGAGAGCTCTGTGCCAGAACTTTGCAGCCTAGAGAGCATGATGCATGTCCGTGACAAGAAACCTTTCTTGGACTAAACAATCAGATCTGCTAACTAGCTAATGAGTGTGTGTTTTGTGTGTGTGTGTGTGGAGATTGTGTTGGGTCTGTTGCCAACAGGCTCGGCTGCTTGAAGGTGTAATGTTTTACCTGCCACCTTTGTTGGTTTCAGGGTTCATACACTTATTATTTGAAGTATACATACCTGTTAACCATGGACTGCTTCTGGCTAGACTAACTCTTTTGTAATCAATGGTGCTAGTGAAGCTTTTATACATGTATCATATCCACTCAGATTTAGCCACCCACACTAGTAGCAAGAGTTACCTTCACTGGGGGCAGGGGAACGCAAGTTGGACCCCGGGACGGATACCCTGATGCCATCAATCCTTTTTCTGCACCTTGTCCTCACCCACTTACTGCGGTGTGGAGAGTCCATAAGTGAGATCATTTCCAAGTTCACCCAGAGTTTGGGCATTTCAGGGGGTGTCGGCCGTTGGGCGGTTCAATAGCCAATCGAGTCATCTTTCCAAGATTCCTTTCTAGTCTCTCTCCCCTCTCCCAGGGAGACCCACGTGACCAGTTTTGGCAGTGAGCAACAAGTACAAGTGTGTGTGTTTGTGTGCGTGTGTGTGTGTGTGTGTGTTTGTTTTGTGTGTTTGTGTGTGTGTGTGTGTGTGCGCGCGCGCACGTGTGTGTGTGGTGACTAAACGGATCATTTTATTCATAGCTACAACTATTTAAAATCCTATAGCTACAGCAGCTACAGATATGGGCTCTGCCGTTTATGGGTATTGAGCACTCTTCCAACAGTCAACCACACTACCGTATTTTACCGGTTGTAAGTCGACCCCGGTTATAGGTCGACCCCGTATCCGGAGGTCTCAATTCTGCGTTTTAAAGTTTTCACCCAAAGAAGCACTACTAGCCACTCCCTTTTACTAACACAACAACAAATCATGTAAACATTCCTTAGTGGAGGGTATAACGTCCCAATCCTTGAAAAAGGCCAATGAACTTGCAAAAATGTGTACACATGGTGCACTCGTGCATGTAGTGCAGGTCTTTTTTGTAAGATACTGACAGTTCCCGGTTATAAGTCGAATCCCGGTTGTAAGTCGACCCCCACCCTTTCTCCTTCTATTATTAGTCGTAAAAGGTCGACTTACAGCCGGAAAAATACGGTACTGTAAAAGCCATATAATTATATATAACGAAGTGCTAATTCTAACGAGTTAACGAGGAGAAATCTGTCGTTAAAATAGAAATCGTTATACAGAAATCGATACTGTCCTATTGAGCCTTGAGAATGAGTGAGAATCGTTACCTTTGATACACGTAAACTAGTCAATTTTGGGAAATCGTCTATGCGCCTCGTTAGAATAATGGCTTTTACAGTACTCGATACAGCTATAGAATCTGTTAAATATTCAAAAACCACCGTCTCATTGTCTCCTCATAGACTGTTTTTGTATTTTGCACCTGGGTGTAAGCTCAGATAATATATCCTGGCTGATTGCAAGTCTGTTGTCTAACCATAACACTTCAATAGCTCTAATCTCGAGAATCAATTTCTTAGCCGCACTTCAGCTGTATTCACGGCTGCCTAAATGGTGGCAAAGACACAACTGGCAAAATGGCGGTAAACACACCCCTGCCTAATACACTCACCTTCCTTCCTTCGCCCACTGCCACGATTGGCTATGTGTCTCCAAATGGGGCGACTTGAAAGAGTGCTGGGGCGCAGCATGAGGCATTGTGAGTGCGGCGGAATGTGAACGGCTGCTTAACTGCTTCTTTTTTTTGCTTTTACGGAGTTACGGCAGGTGCAGCTATGTCTAGCGATATCTTGAGGACGGCTGAAACGCCCGGCGTGTGCAGACCGAACACAGGAGTAGCGTCACGGCAGGTAGTACACGAGAACATACCACGCTGTAGACTCCATCCTGACACCTGGTTCTCCACTCAGACCTATCATCTGCTGTGTCAAGCCACTCATCCATGCCATGGCAATGGACACCGCCGCCAGATCATGCTTGACTGGGTCTTTCCACCTCTTCCGGGAGCCATGTGGAGGTTGTTTAGACGGCAAGGCACCAAAGAGCAGTTGGTGGGGAATACGGTAAGCAGTGTGAGCCAGGTGGCCCAGCCATTGGAGACGACGTTGCCGGATCTTGTCAGAGACCTGCTCCATGTCTCTCCACCACTGCTGTACCTGAAGGGTTGACACGTGTTCGTCCATCTGGCGTGCCCGATTGATGCTCAGGACCGTGTCTCCCCACCACGTGCTCGTCCATCCGGCGCGCCCGATTGATGCCCAGGACCATGCGCATAGATTGCAGGTGAAACGACTCCAGACGCTGGAGATCCCGTTGCATCGGTGTCCAGTTCTCAGCACCATACAGGAGTACCGCCAGCACAGTCACTCCGGAGATAACACGGTTGAGGTCGATGGGAAACTCTGAATTCGCAAACATAGCCAAATGCACCCGAAGCTGCAGCGATCCTGCGAGAGACATCAAAGCTAGCATCGGGGGTGGTTTGGCAGTCAAGATAGCGGAAGCTGTACACGCATTCAACCGTTCCTCCCAAAGGCAACATTACATATCCGACGCCACCACACCAACGCACACCAATGCACATATGCGCACATGCGCACATACACACACACGCACGCACACGCACGCACGCACACGCACGCACGCACGCACGCACACACACACACACACACCATTTTGACCATTTAACGCGCATCACCGGAGGCAATGATAGCGATGCTACAGCAGACGCCATAGCCATAGGAGCACAAATAGTGCTGGGATTGCACAACAGCTTGCAAGGCTGAAGAATTGACCACCAATATACAGGCGGGTCTACACCACACAGCTATGAAGTGGCTTTTTCCCAGTGAATCCCTACTTTTTGGTCTTTTTCATTTTTTTCACACACACACATCACACCACATACTCCGGCATGCACTGGCTGTTGGTAACCACCCAGGAGAATGAAAGGAAAGTCAGGAGTCTGAGAAAGAGATGATAGACGTGTGTGACTATAATCGTCGGGAATCGAACCAGCAACCTCTCGATTGGAAATCGCTGTACATACCACTGCACCATATGGGACACACCTTGACCTTGACCTTGCCCATTGCGTAGCAATGATAGCGCATTGCTATTTCTCCAGTCCACGACAGGATGACTGATGGCGTTTCAGGTCGCCGCTTCGACGGAACATGCGGCCGCAGGCGCAACCGTAGCCAGCGGCAGAGGGTGCCCCTTGGTCGACGGGCAATGGCACGCCACTCCGGACAGTTTTGGGCTGCATCGTACCATCCACATGTTGGGACACACACGCGCACACACACACACACACACACACACACACACACACAAGCTCTCTGAGCTTCAGCATAGCAATGCGGCACACACAGTCACCACAAGCACAAACACCAGCATCAAATTTAAAATGTGCATCTCTCAGGGGAGTTAGCACTTGGCGGACAGGAGCTCTGTCCTCTCCCCTTCCCCGCTCTTCATATCACTCACTTTTTTTGTCTTTTCTCCCCAAGATGCGTCTATGCGCCTAGGGCTCTGACACCAGTGAGTGGATGAGACCCATTACCTCTGGGCCTAGAAGGCGCTCACAAGGTTTTCACTCCAAAGGCAAAGCCAAAGTCACTTTCTTTCACCTCTGCTAGTACGTTCCAGAAACTGACCATGGTTGGTCTCCTGGGGAGGGAAAAAGACCCAAGTGCCATCAGTATGTGTGGCACGTGTGCTGCCTTTGGAGTGAAAAACATGTCAGTGCCTTCTAGGTTCAGCCTGGTCCCATAGGTACAAACAAATTTCAATACATCTCACCTAGATCCTCCCACCCCAACCACACTTGGAAAGCCGTGGCACTGGGGGAGATGATTAGAGCAGGTAGAGGATCAACAAGTGAAGCTACCTCACTAGGTACCCGCTCCTTCCTGGCAGCTAAACCCATTGAACGTTACGAGGTTACTCTACACCAATAGTTAACGCCGCTCTATCCTCTACGCATCACAAGAAATCCACTCACCAGAAAAAGAGCACTACACCACCACTCATATGATACTACCGTACCATCCAGGTCTAACTGACCGAAATAAAGTGTTAAAAAACAAGCTTGACACCATCCTGGGCCAGGCACCTTTCATCGCCTGGAAGAAGACTAAATGCCTCGCTAGCTACCTCAAACACAAGCACGTCTGAGATTCACACCCACCTGGCAGCCTCTTCTAACACCCTCAGTTGTTTCACCTACAAACAAAAATTCCATTGATAAGAGACTGTACCACCACTCTGGACTCTATTGGTCTGATGAGGTACTCCTTCGATAGTACCGAAATAAGCTTATAACCATTCCTTTGGTCAGTCTCTCCTTCCTTCACAATTCACTTTTTATCCACTCCACCATTGCGTTCATTCCTTCTCTTGCATTGCTTTGTGTTCCTTTTCCATCCACCGCACCTTTTTTCCACACTGCTTTGCATTCTTCATCCTTTTTTTCTGCGTTGTGCCGCCCTACTGCCGCTCTGCCTAGCAGAACCTCCTAGCCCTAACCTTTCGGCCGGGGTGTGTATAGCTATGAAATCCTTTCG